TAAGATAATAAATAACATTTGTAATATGAGATCACAAAAATGAGAGGCAAGAAACAAAGAAAAAACACAGCAATGCAATGTCTCCTAAATGATCACATTTATTGATTTATCCGTACTTAACTCTGATTTGCGTGTGGTGAAGCTTGCTGCAAAATGATAGTGTTTCCATTTTGTCTTTGAGAAAAACACATATTATGAAATGTTAATGTTTGTCACTGGCAGAAGTCATTAAATCTTGAAGAGAACTCAGCAAGGAGGCCAATCAAATCAATTGGTACTTGTCTAAATGAAGCAAAATGCAATGGCCTTTATTCTCATTTGCATTGTGGCCACTTCCTCCTTCTGGTACAGGATACTGTTTGTCAACTAATTTCTTTCCATTTTAGTATTTTTTTTCAGTGTTTCCATTTACTATGAGGTATGACATTGACAAAATGTAATTTTAGTTTAAGTATTAGGTATTTTGATCTGATTTAATTGATTAAAAGTAAGCACGCTTATATTATGATGATCACACCGATCCTGAACATGGGTACAAGCGTTGAATGTATAAGAAATACCTGAAAGCATTACGCATTGAAACAGAACTTAGAATTCAATGCGACTTTTGAATCCATAAGCAAGAGCTGATATTTCCTGAAGAAGGGATTAACAGACCTAACTTAAGTGGCAAAGCCAATATTTTGGGCCCTCAGATGTGATAGACTGCAAAGCAGATACAAGTCAACTATGAGCTAATACAGTATTTAAAAATCAGAGTGAGCTATATTTGTACAGAAATTTGAATTGTTCAGATGAGATTAATAGAATATCATCCATCTGATCAGCAAACAGTTATACAAGACCACAAACCTCTTGTTTATGTGCCTCTGACCCACTCTATGGGATTCTATTACTGATTAATTGGCATGGGTTTTTTCTAATTACTTGCAAAATTAACACATTTGTGCTGTTTTTATGGGGATATATATATTTTCTACTGTTGTCATGGCTGCCAAGTTGACTGACCTGAGAATGTCTGATAAGGTTAAAATGTTGGGCCTATGAATCCCCAGCCACCTCACTCTGCTGCTAAGAGTTTTAACATTTGAAAAACTAAAGTGGGAAACATAAGCACCAAAGGGAAATCATTGTGTGTCAGTGGCTTATCATCACCAGTGTTAAACTCCAGGACTGTTGAGGAGGACTGGGAGAGAAGTTACAAGAAAATATACATTACCTGTTGCTTTAACAGGCAAACATGCCAAAGGTGTGGGTATTTGTGTATAGCTACAGCAAAGGCTTAGGAGCTGCCTATAAATGTGGGGAAAAACAATGTCTCGCTAATGTGGCCATGTTACTGGAGACCAACTGTGTGTGAATTTTAGAGGGAACTATCAGGAGAAAGAAAGACAAGATCTAAGTACCTTGATACATTGTCATCTTCTGCTGTATACACAGATTATACTGCGAATAACCTTCTCCAGTATCAAGAAAGTGAACTCTTCCACTGCCCACCCTGATTGAGTTCTTGTCACAAGGTAGCAGTGATGCTCACTATTTGGAATTAAGACAAGGAGGGGATTCTGTGGTAGAAAATGTTCAAGACTAAGGGTGTGTCTAGACTACAGGGTTTTGTCGACAAAAGTGGACTTTTGTCGACAAAACTATACCTGAATCTACACTGCCGCTGAGTTCTGTCGACATAACGTTGACAGAACTCAGCAGTTTTGTCGACGGCTGTAAACCGCATTCTACGAGGAATAACGCCTTTTGTCGACATAAGCTGTTATTGCATCTACGCTGTCCTTTGCGTCTACACTGTCATGTCGACAAAGCGACTTTCTTTGTCGACAGAACTGGATGTAGTCTAGACGTTCTTTGTTGATAGAACTTCTGTTGACAAAAGCCTATAGTCTAGACGTACCCTAGGAAGCAAAGGTGCTTTGTTGACAACTATAATGTCTTTGTCAACTCAAAGGAAACACTTAAATATCTGCTTTTTTTTGTCTTTTCACCACCTAACTCTATATACATTTCCTGCAGTGATCTGAAACGAATAGGATGTCTGAAGAGCATAAACCTGTCAAAATAATCTCGAACCTCCTCTCTGATGTTTCCCAGGCAAATGTCTTCTGTTTATCCTCTGCTTGCTGCTCTCAAAACTTTGAGACAATATTGTGACTGTCTGGGGAGGTTTGGCTGGGTAGGCAAGAGTTTGCAATGTTATAGCAACTCAATTCTGAGAGACCAGACTAGGATGGAAAATGTCACAAGTGTTTACAAAGTAGACCTCTCCGGAGTGAGTAACATCTACAGTTGAGGCTCAGTCCCTTCTCTGTGCAGTTGGGGTAAACACATTTTTTCATGTCACAGGTGTACTGTAAGGACAAATTACAATGTTTTAATGATGCTCTAATACTACAGTGAAATAGGCCATATTAATACCTAGGAAGCTATTGAGAAACCATAGGAAGAAGAGTGGTAATGAATCTTGACTATGCTTCTTTGTTGTTGGAAGTTTGTCTGAATGTGTTGTTTTTAATATGTGCTGTGAATGAGGGTGTTGGGCGTATAAAAGTCCTTTAAATAAAAACACATCAAGAGAACAAGCATGTCATTAGCTGAACTTTCAGTTTCTTAGCAGAAGGTAATATTTTAAAATGGAAATAACATTTTGATTCATAAATTCCAAGCCCAGAAGGGACAATTGTGATTATCTAGTCTGACCACCAAAATATAACACAGGCTATAGAGCTTCCTCCAAATAATCCCTAGTGCATAGTTTTTTAGAAGAAACATCCAATCTTGATTTTAAAATTGCCAATAATGGGGGATTTATCACGTCTCTTACTAAATTACATTTAGTTTATTAAAAAAATGTTAGAGGGTAATGAAATGTTTGTTTATAATAAAGATTAGCATTGCTCTAAACAGTGGGATGAGATAAGTAGCATTTAATGAGTATTATGTATTCTAGATGTATTAACATTTTCCTCATAGAGGGAATTATACTTAAAGAAAATGAGTTTACAAGCCTCTAATTTTTATATTTAATAAGTTTTTTTTAAATGTCCATGGATAGTCAGTGAACACAGTCTTGTAATACAAAAAGTACATGGTGTAAAACAGGTGTACAATACCCTGTAAAATATTCCTGAAATGAAATTATGAAACATATATAAATAACATAAAAAAGAGCAAGAACAAAGGAAATGAGAGGTGCTGGATACAAGAAGGAAAGGTGTAGGAGTATGAGTAAAAGTACATTGATTAACATAAGAAAAGTTTCCACATGCAATCAAATACGTCCGTCTTAGCTTATAATTTAGGCATTACTATTTCACACAAAAGCTGTTTCAGTCACTTTTGTTATCCATTTTTATACTAGCCTGTGAAGCTAATTTTTTTCACTGTCCTATCTTTTTGCAGCCATAGACCCTTATATTATCTTATAGAAGATTTACCCAGCATTGCTAGGGTTCTTAACTCAATTAACATTTGTTTTTCTTCATTTAAATCATTGCTTTGGGGTGGGTCTGAGGTTGAGGCGTTGGGCAGGAGAGCTGACCCAGGGAGAGAGGACTACCCCACCATTCACTCCTCACAGCAGCTTGGGGCCAGGTGAGAACCGCCTCGCCATGGCCACTGCAGCTCCACCGGGCATAGGTGCCCTGGCTAGGGCAAGTCCAGGTTTGTCTGCCCACTATGTTCCCTAGCCAGGGTGAGGAATGAAGCAAATTGCACTTTCTCCTGGGGGAACAGCTAACAATGTTTCCGTACAAATTGGGTGGGGAGGGTGCTTCGGCCACCCTACTATCCCTAAAAGGCACCTGAGGGGTGAGAGGCTGGGTGCTGGGATAGTCATGGAAGAGGTGGGCGGTATCCCCAGCCTGCCCCTTTCCCTTGCCCACTGATTCTGTCTCTTTTCTGACAGGGTGGGTTACACTGACAATTTTGGTTTAGTTTCTTGACTCTGTTGTGATTCTTTAACTTTGCAGTGTTAATGTTGTTTCAGTATAGCTTGTGTGAAATACTGTACAATATAGACACTTCTCTTCAGATACAATAGGTCTGTGTACACACCCATTATAGAAATTGTGTAATAATCGCTCTTTCCTATGTTCACACTTTCCAAGTAGACTGTATGAATTCAAGGAGACATTAGGGCCCTACCAAAATCACAGTCCTTTATGGCAAATTTCATAGCCATAGAATTCAAAAATTGACAATTGTCACTTTTTCAGCTATTAAACCTGAAATTTCATGGTGTTGTAACGGTAGAGTCCTGACTTCAAAGGAGATTGGGTCACAAACCTGTTGTAGGGGGGTCATGGGATTACCATCCTCACTTCTGTGCTGCCTTCAGAGCTGGACTCTGAAAGCTGCAACCACAGAGCTTCCTGAAGCCACAGAAGGTTTCAAGAGGTACAGGTGGGTCTGATTTGTCTTGCACTGCTGGGAGCACCCCAGCTAGGGGCTCCTAGCTGCTGTCCCTGAGCTTGGGAGGGACAATGCTTGCTCTCTCTATGAATAGCTGCAGAAAGTGCTGTACTTCCTGCCCAACACACACTTCTTGCCTCTGTCCTTCCTCTGCCCCATCAGAGCTAGGGCATTCTGAGCAGCACAATCCAGCTCCAGAAGTCTCCTCTAGCTGTGGGAACCTCAGCCTGCTGCCCAGTCCCAGGCAGTATCTTGCAGCAAGGGAGGTACCTGGAGGTGGGCCTGGTCTGGTTCCGCCCCGCTTCCACCACCAGAGCAGTTGGCAGGGGAGGGATAAGTCCTGTCCTTCTCCTGCCCAGTCAGAGGCAGGAAGTCCCCTTTGATGGGATGCTCCTATGAACAAGGAAAACTCAGATTTCGTACGGAAAGGTTTGTCATAATCTGTGTTTTCATAATTTTGATTGAAATTGGGAGGGCCCTAATCAAGAATGAAAAGGCATTGGGAAGTGATTTTATAGCAACCTTGGACTGATGGCTCCCATTGTGCTAACATGCTCATGTATTCTTTCTTCTATTAGAATGTGCCACCGGATCTTTCCATTTGTACTTTTGTGCTGGAACAATCCTTGTCCGTGCGAGCTCTACAGGAAATGCTGGCTAACACTGAAGAGAAAGCAGAAGGGGTAAGTAATCCAGTCAAGCCTCTTTTTTTCTTTTTTTTTTTTTTTTTTGCATCAACCTGGGCTATATAACGTTTCTTCCACAGTACTAACATGGGCTATGTATATCCTACAGAGTTTTTTCGGAAAAACAGTTGTTTTTCCAAAAACCCCTTCACTTACGTTCATACTGCAATCACGTTCTTTTGAAAGAAAATTGAAAGAACAGAGGGTTTTTTTCCGACATTGGTAAACCTCTTTCTACGAGGAAGAAACCTTTTTGCGAAAGAGCTCTTTCGGAAAAAGGTGTGTGTGGACGGGGAAGCGGGAGTTCTTTCGAAAGAAGAGGAAAGAGGAGGAAAAAGCACAGGTGCCCTTGAGGCCACTCTGTCCATAGTAATCACAGCTCACATAGGAGATAGTGTCCATTCAGTGTGGATGCTATCTTTCGAAAAAGCAGATCGCTTTTTCGATGTGCTTTGGCAGTGTGGACATTCTCTTTTGGAAGTAGTTTTTTCTGACAATCTCTTCTGGAAAAGCTTCTTCCGAAAGAAGCCTCCAGTCTAAAGGTAGCCACGATGACTTCCTTTTTGTGTAGGGTTAGTCTTAATCTCCAGTATGGTAAGGACCTCATCCTAAGGAATTGCAAGCATTTAAGACTTGTGGGAGTTCCTGATCTCTTAAGATGAGATGATAAATTGGTGAGGTGATTGTGCAACTTGAGAAATTATGATTAAATGTGGCTGAGGGCCCATGTATTCTTACTATCAATCACAACATTTTTGAGACACAACTAAATCAGTCCTTAGGAGATAAGGCTTCTAGTCAAATGCAAGGCTGTGTTACTGGCATATAAATAACATTGCATCAAATCAAAATACTAGGTAATATTAAAATTCAGAATCAGGCATGTTTAGTTCTTTTTTAAAAAAAGACACACTTCTATGTGATTTGAGCAAAAATGTCCACTAGTTCAGTTTTAAAATTGAAGATGTCATATTAATCAGAGGTGCTAGATGATAATGGAAATTGGGCATCCTTGCATTCATAAGTGATGAAGGAAATAGAGTAGCAATTCTGAGTAACAAATAGTTATCTCCAAATAAATCAGAGTAGAGGTTGAACCTCTCTTTACCGGGACTCTCTGGTCCAGCAAAATCCCTTGGCTGGAAGGACTGAGGGCGTTCCAGGGCCAGTGTCCCCCATGAAAGGCTGGTGGCTGGGAACCCTGCAGCAGGGCTGGAGCCCAGTAGCAGGGCTGTCCTGCGGCAGCGAAAGCAGGAGCCCAGCAGCAGGGCTGATGCCCTGTGGTAACACTGCAGTGGGGAGGATGCGGGGGGAGTGGGAGATAGTGAGGCTGCCTGGTGGGCTGGAGCCCAGCATTGGGGCTGCTACCTGGCAGCAAAACTGCCCTGTGAGATGGGGAGGCAGTGGGGTTGCCCAGCGGTTGAGCTGGGCACCCGGCAGTGGGGCCGCCTGGCATCACAACCAGGAGCCCGGCAGCCTCGCTACCGCCATGTGGCTCAGCTGTGCAGCAGCAGGGCTGCCCCGTGGGGCTGGGAGCCAGTCTGGAACCCTGCTACTGCCTAGTGGAGCTGCCGGATGAGGTTGGATGGTAGCAGGGTTGCCCAGCAAGCAGGGCTGCCCCCCACCTAGAGTCCAGCAGGGGTGCTGCCCTGCTAGGCTTGGAGCCTGGCAGTGGGGCTGTGCTTGCGGTGGTAGGACAGCTGTGGTGGGGCTGGGAGCCCTGTGCTGAGGGGCCAGTGGTAGGGAGGCCATGATCAGGTGGCAGGGCAGGGGGAGCAGAAATGACCTTCCATGGTCTGGCAGAATCCTCATCCGGGACCAGTCAGATCCCCAGGGTGACAGCCTGTAGTAAGATTAATTTTGTGTATATGGTGTAGATAATTTAGTTTATATTCACATAGCTTGGGATTCCACACATGCTTTGCATATTTAATTTGAAGTGGTACTCTGGACCATATCCTGAAATCTGCTTGTAATTGAGGAAGAATGACAAGGGAAGAGTGCTTGTGTCACAGAAATAACATAGAGACAAAACAGAGGAGGGGATTAATAGCAAATCTGTCACTCAAAGCTGGCAGGAGAGAAACATACTCCTGGAACCTCTGAGAATGCCTGCGAGAAAGCAAGCTCCATACTAATATGATGTAGTCAGTTCCAGAAAATGTCAGGCATGGAACCTAAAAATGCTAGTTAGGTTATGAAATCCAAGAATATCCCCATGTATGCTATTTACTTGTTCCCATAATATAAGAACTAGAGGACACCAAATTAAATTGAGTAGTAGGTTTAAAACTAATAAAAGAAAGTTCTTCTTCCCACAGCGCATAGTCAACCTGTGGGACTCCTTGCCAGAGGAGGCTGTGAAGGCTAGGACTATAACAGAGTTTAAAAAAGAGCTAGATAATTTCATGGAGGTTAGGTCCATTAATGACTATTAGCTAGGGGGAAGGAATGGTGTATCTAGTCTCTGTTTGTCAAAAGCTGGAGAAGGATGGCAGGAGACAAATTGCTTGATCATTGTCTTCAGTCCACCCCCTCTGGGGCACCTGGCACTGGCCACTGTTGACAGACAGAATACTGGGCTAGATGGACCTTTGGTCTGACCCAGTATGGCCATTCTTATGTTCTCATGTAACAGCTGTATAAAAATGGGAAAATAAGTAAAACATAAAGCATTTGTTACTTGAAAATTTCATTGGGAAATTTAGCAACAAACATCACTTGACAGAAAAACTATTAAATTAAATTCTATAAAATTGTATTATTTGTTTAGCTATAAACAAATATATCCTTGAAGCACATAAACCAGGACATACTGAGATAAAAATATTTATGAGGAATGAAGATTGGAAAGATGTGGCAATCTATCAAATGTACTTCAAGTTCACTCTTATTATGTCTCATTTAGAAGATACTAAACAGATACCATGTCAGCTTCTGAATATGTGTAGAAGGTTATCTTAATATACTATGGCAGAGATTCTGCAACATCATTCTAACTTACTTCATAGTTAGTCAATGATGTTATACAAAATATATAAATACATATACGCGTTTGTATATAACTATATACACTATCTGATCTCTACAAGTAGAACCCAAGTTCCCCAAACTACTCCTACATCTGCACTAGTAAATATGATTTTCTAATAAACTAAGAAAAACAAAATGCATGGTCATGAGGAAACACTCCCCAAAGACAACTAGCCACAGCATGAAGAATTGACATGGGCCTGACCTGGTGATAGCAACCGCTTGATCTCAAACAATGCAGCTGAATTGATTCAGAAGTCACTTGCAAACCCAAACCTGACCACCTCCTGCTTTTAAGAATGTTTCAATCTTTTTATAAGAATAGCAAATCCATGACAGACTTTCATAACCTTAGTTTGTATGTGTATGCACACACACACCCCTCACCTACCCTCTTTTCCGTGTTGTTGGTGAAATAAGTCTGCTTCAGAGTAGAGTCTCTCCTATTCTGTTTGCATTCCACATGTCCTGGGAGGATAGGATTCTGATTTGTGCCTTAGTGTAGACATTACGGTATTACAAAAACAAAAAAAAAGTGACCAGAGCCAGTGTCCCTTTAACGCCAACAGACACTGGTCATCTGTGGACAGAATCAAACCTGGGACCCCTGGAGCTTAGAAAATGAACCTTTGCCACATGAGGTAAAAACCAGCTGGCTGTTAGCCAAGGTTGTAGAGCAAACTCATTATTCTCTCTGTAATTAGTCTTATAGTAGGTGGGACAGTACACTGCACCCAGAATATGTGAGAGTTACACAGAAGAAAATGCATCATGCCATTGTGACAGTTTGATAATGTTGCTATCAAAGAAAATACTCCTATCCTGAATCACTTCTATAAATATCTGTGATGGACAGACATTGCCGGTATACTACATACTGATTTTTCTCTCTTTCACAGACATTCACATATAAAGATATTGGTAGGTTCTAAGTCAGTTACGCTTTGTATACTTTGGTGATATTTTCTTTGGCGGACATTTTCTATATAACTCTAAGGTACTAGCTTAGCAGGCTTCATTTAGATGATTCATAAATACAGAGGAGCAGAAGAAATTTTATAGCAAAAAAGAGAGCAAATGATTTATATCATGGTATGATTGGGTTTGTTTCAGGGAATGCAGCACAAAGGACACGTAACCTAATTCATCCACAAAAGAAGCAGGTTTTTGTTCTATCCACTGTAAATGCTATTTTTCTACTCATGTTCATTTATGGTAAAGTATCCTTTATTCTCAGGTTAATTTAATTTTGTGCATCGTTTCTTTATCATCAGCTATTTAGTTGATCTGTCTTGAAAATAATAAGTACATTGCAATAGAATGAAAGATGAAATTAGAGGCTTGTCAATTAAATTTGTCAGTAGCCAGTGTCTTGTCTTGACAGCAAAAAATCTTGACAAAAAAATTCCTGTTAAAAAGCAGTCATACTTAAAAAAGGTTTGACAAAATCTCCAAAATCCTTATAATCAATGAATGAATTGGAACATCTGTGTGATGTAGATGTCATCCTCCCTGTCACATATGGAGAAACTAAAGCTCCATTGATTTCTGCTGCCACCATTAGTACACACCTGTTAACCTAAATGTTCTGAAGAAAAGGATTAAAACTTGAGTAGCAAAACTTGCCGATGACTGATTCTCATAATCCTTTCTAGTAATGACAAACTGAAAAATGGCCTAAATAGCATAAGCAGTTGGGTAACCCTGTGGCAGATGAAATACAAAGTAGATTAGGTAGAAAAGAATTGTTAGAGACATGGAAAAAGTTCCACCCAGAGAGAACTATGAAAAATTATAGTATTAAGAGGAACTGTGATTACTATAGTAGGGTGGTAAGTACCACCATCTATTGAGGTTATTCAACACTTAACATTTTCAGACCCTGTTTGCAGCTGCTTACAATGTTGGTATATTTTAAGGCTGAAATTTTCCGTATGGGATATCTGCCTCAGGCTGAATCTTTT